TTACATTGGTGCATCCTCGCAGTCGTGCTTGCGCCTCATACGCTGCATGACCTGGAAAGGCTTCTTCCAGGTCATGCAGCGTATGAGGCGCAAGCACGACTTCTTATGCTCTTTTATCACCTGCAAATGTATCTTACGGAGTTGACAACGTTTCAACAACGGCACAAGTCCAACCTCAGGTAAATGAAGTACAAAAACAAGCTATCAGCTATAGTAGTGATCTCACTCACGCCCAACATCACAGCACCAGTGGCAATCATGGAAAACAACCACTGAGAACAGTCTAGGAGGAGGTAGGAATTGCCAAGTTTTTTCTATTCAGACATTAGCAGAAATGGGAAATGGTACTGTTTTGGGTATATACACTGATGCAGGACGAGAGGGTGATCTAAGAATTGTCACGTTCGCCATGCTAGTGCACGTCCTACACTGATCATACTCACTGTTCACTATCATCTTGTCGGTGGTTTCTACTGCTTCGTGGCCCTCTTGCTCTTCTCTCGATGGAATTGAGCACATTCCTCTGCAAAATGGAGGCCCAAAGTTTGGGCGGTTCATCTTGAGCATCTCATACTCAAATTATACTCATTTATGTTGTTTATGGAAGATATTCATAGTGTCAGCGATTGAGTCATTTAGTGCATGTCTAAATAACTCTGTGAGCATCCATTGGAGATCAAACATGAGGCGAGTTCTCATGGGATCGGAAACTAATAATACTGAGTTAGCATTTTGTATGTCTTTCTATGCCGAGAGGTGTGACTTCTATGGGTTCATGAGGTTTCGACTGAGTCTTTAGTCTTCGAAGTACTCTACGATCTGGTTCACAAAGCGCTCATGTTATCTAGCGACTTCAACGTATTATAAAGGGCTTTGAAGGAAATACAAGCATTCTAGGGAAAAAAACGCAGATTTCCACAATTCGAGCAGTACATTGCGCGTTAGTGAGCGAATGCACGCTGTATTACCTTCTGACAACTAGAGGACGCAACTTATTTATTTATTTAGTACGCTGTTTAAGACAACGCTCGATATGTGAGAACAAAACTAAACATAAAACAAACAAAATAAACACTACAACAATGAAGAAACATGGCACCTACGCACTGAGAACTTGCTTAGCTATGGCACGTTTGAAGGAAGTCATAGAACCATTAAACAATGTGGTTTTGCCCAACCGTAGATACGCGAGACCCGCTCTGATAGTGAAGAAATTGCGCAAATGATAGCTTATGTTGACCACCTCTGGTTATGGACGGAATAAGGGTGTAAAAACGAGAAAAATCAAGTATGGATTTGTCCCTCAACAGTTTATGCAACATACATAAGTCAAAAAGGGTCCGCCTGGAATGTAGTGAGGGAAGACCGAAATATTTGTTCCTAATTTCTGCTTAGGGATTTTAGCATACAGAAAGCCACCGCGACGGATTAACATCTTTCTGGTGAAATTATTTTGGACTTTTTCAATAAGAGCCACGTCCCTTTTTTTATAAGGGGCGAAGACAACCGTTCCCGTCTCTACCAAAGGCCGAACATAAGTCTTGTAAACTCTAACAAGCACCCTACTATCCGCGGTAGTGAGAGCCTTAAATATGCAATAGGTTCGATGAAGGGCTTTCTTGTATATGTGCTTGTAGTGCAGGGAAAAGTCAAGTTTGTTATTGTATAGGAACCCAAGATCCTTAACCTGGTTCACCGTGCTAATCTCTTGATTGTTTATGAAGTAAGTTGCATTGCAGTGGGAAGAAGAACCCACGCGCATATGAAACGTTTTGGTAGAAGAAAGCGGTATCTGCCAGTCGGCTGACCACTGGAGAAGCCGATCAATTGTGGCCTGTAAATCAAGTATATCACGAGGGGAGCTTATAACTTTGTAGAACTTGAGGTCATCAGCATTGTTTGGACACAACTTCATCCCGTAGACAGAAAGAACTCAAGTCAGCCGTATAAATGTTGAAAAGTATAGGGGAAAGGACCCCACATTGAGGCATTCCACCCTGGGAAAAGAAAAAAATATCTTGAGTAGGCGGGACGGCAATTAACGGCGTACGTTTGCATACACGGTCGAATACCCATGAGAGAAAAGCTTTTTCGCAAATTGCCACTAAACAGTTGATCTGAAAGCCCTAAGCTTGCTAATTTTGAATAGAATCCTTTCGAGTGCTGACCTTGGTGCAAAAGCTTTGATGAAGTCAAAAAATATAACATCTATACTTTGCTTGTTGTCCAAGGCTACAGTCCAGTCGTTGAGCGTTTCTAAAAGATTTGTACCAGTTGACCTGCCTCAAAAACTAAAGCCATGCTGAGAAACAGGAATTATTTCATTCTCAGGCAAGATTATGAAGGACGTGTGTTTTCAGCAACTTTTCAAAGACCCTACAGAAGAAAGAAGTGATACTTATTGGTCTATAGTTAGAAATATCCGATGATGGCGCTTTCTTAAGGACTGGAGTGATATAGGAATGTTTCCATAATCGTGGCACTTGCGAGTACATTATGGATTGATTATAATAAATACGAAATGTGGGAAACGCGAATGGGACTGGAAGCAGTGACATTTTCAAATGAGTTGAAGAAGTGACAACACAACCCCCCCCCCCGCGCAGCAGCAGACAAGGAAGAATTCTGTGAGGAGGTTGTAGAGGTGACAGCATGAGGCCATTGTGTAGTGTATGGAAGACTGTAGCACATCCTTGCCTCAAAAGTAGCGGATAAAGGACTGCGGCATTTCAGAAGAGGACAAGTGGGCCCGAAAAGTGAGGGTGAGAGGAGGCCGTCACTGTCTTTATGAACATGCTTTATAACTGAACTCAGCAGCAAAACGCAAACACCCCACAGTTCCTTCGTATTCTACAGGCTCGGCGGTGGCGGTTTAATGTCTCTGGTGTTCTGTCGAGAGACGACAATCTTAGATGATACTCATAAGCAGACTTCATATTTAGTGCGGGGTTTCTCAAAAACTACATCTTGGAGGAAGTAGCTGTGCTCATCGCCCAAGCACTCGCTCAAGCATATTTCCGGCTCAGTGCTTCTTACGCTTCTCAAGGCTTCTGCGTCGCGGGCAAGAACACATTAGTGACTCGACACGCCGTAGCTAGGCTTTCTTTGATGCACTACTAAAATCCCTTTTGCTCCTACAATTAGGGTTCTATGATAAGCTCCGATGAGTTAGGCCACTACAGGTGCTGTCCTGCCATCTTCACGCTTCGTCATGGAGCTTGCTTTCAAATACGACAACCGGATTTTTTCCAGGGAAATTCACTGACTAGAGCGTTGATTCGGTTTCGATAGTGCTCTTACTTTTTTCTTTCGCCTGTTCCCAAGTGGGCAGCAGTGCGCTCAAGTCAGATACGAAAGACGTAAGACATGTGGACCACTGATTTGTTTTGACGCTTGGTAGGGCTTGTTGCTTTGAAGTTTTCATTGGCCATCTTTAGTGGTCTTCTAGGCCGCATAGCTTGTTTAGCCGTGCGGCTATTCCTCCCGGTAAGCCCGGCTGCCTGGTGATTGGTCGTCGCTTTCACACCAACTATGCATATGGTCCTAAGCCGTTTTGGAAACACAGCCAACAACGGCATGCTTTCAGCATTCGGAGGGCGGATATCCCTTAAAATAAAGTGTTGGAGGCTACTTTTGCGGTACCATTCTACATCAATGATTACACTGTGGACTTTCACCTATTAAAATACTGAGTCGTGTGGCGCTCTCCGTGTATGTAAGGCTAGGCGTTGGCAGAATTTGCGACGGGGCAGCGCTGGGCTCGAAGCGATCGATACAGCACGGGCTTTCAACTGCGGTCGACCCGCGTCGTACGCGACCTCGCCCCGGGCGTGAATAAGGTGAGTGGGCCGAACCCGACCCCGGAAGACCCTGGCCGTCGCGTATGTTTGAAACCCTGCCCTAGCAGTATTCCCCGTCCACACATCTGCAGTACATTTTATGAAAACATTCAGGCTCTGGCTCTTCAATATTATCCACGAAACATATAGCAGAATCTGCTGCCAAGTGTTGACAGGATTTGCGAATATTGATGCCTAGCTTAACCCAAATCATTTTATGTCGTGCATGGGTCCAGAAAGCGGCAAGGTCTGCTCTATTCTTGATATAAAGTGAAGTAACGTCGAAGAACCCTATCACTGCACTTTCTTCAGCTCTGTAAGTGCGCAGAATTTCGAGAAAGTTGTTGTGTTGGGCACGTAGGAATGTGAGAGGCACACATGAAGGTTTATTTTCGTAATTGTGTGTTATGTACAACTTGCTAAACATGACCAAATAGAATTTAGAAAATTCGGAAGGCATAAACTTTATTACTGTCGTACCAGTTTGACACCACGTTCAACCCCAGAACAATATTGGTTTTTCTGGAAAGTTTCTTTGAACTTTTCGCCCAACATTCATCGTTCTGTGTATTTATGAACATTCTTAGCTTTCTTGGAGTTCAATGTCAAGAATCTGATATATCACCATTCTGTCAACACGATGATAATGAGCATTTTTCCATGTGGGAGCATGATACACATTTTTTGCCGGCTGAGTCGAGCAAAGAGACAACTGCCAATGATGCAAAACCATAGGTGATCATCGAGGAGTCGTCCAAGAAGAATCCCAACAGTACTGTAAGCATCAGCCGTGTCGAGTCAAAGATCAGTGAAAGGCGTCTGAAATGAATCTATCATAGAAATCTATTCAACAACCAACAACCGGTCTAGCGAACAAAAAAAAACAAAAAAGTAATAACAAACTTGTGGTCGAAATAGTATCCAAACATTTGTATGTACATGACTAGAAAAGCGAGTCGGCATAGGAATTCAGTCCAGTCTAGAGACAAGCGGATGATAACGAATTGCAGAAAGCAAATCAGAAGAAACAGCCATTGTGCTAGCAGATAGCAGCGAATGGGGACTGCTAGAGGAGGGTTATAGCGAACAATAGGACTTTCGACCTGCAAAAGCTGCACTCTAAACTACTTCTAAGAATATTGGACACTTCAGTGCTCATCAGAGGCGGCTCATTCCGTACGCCAGTCTCATTCCAGTAAGTGCATATGTCTTATGCTTAATTCTAATTAGTGACGGTGGACCCAACCTCAGGAACTCCATCTGTGTGATCCTTCAGACATAACCATAAAAAGAACGGTTTTGTTTTCATTCCTGGTAAGTATGCTGGCGGCCATAAAGCAGCTTTCACCTGCAATTAATTCGAGTTTATAGCTCAATACATATCTTTTACATACGGGAGCATGGGGCTGTTTCAGTTGCTCAGACGAGAGCTTTGATTTAAACACGCACCTTGTTCCATAAACCTGGAAAAACCTCTTCGTTTTTCTCGTTCCTCATCTGACCTTTATCGTAGCCCATAGCCTTGAATTCGAAGAACTAAAAAAAGCTGTTCACAGTTCCTCCGTTTGACTATCAAAAGTGACAATCATTGCACAAACCTCACACCACAGAACATTGAATGATTTCACTGGGGTAACAAGTCCGAACGCGATCTCCTCGTCCATGCGCTCCGCTGCGTATGTGCCAAAAAGTCTGGAATTTCAAACTAGAATTGTCATAATTTCTTAGCAATTACGAAAAGGATATAGAAAAACGCGGTTCCAGACTGATATAGAAAAACGCGGTTCCAGACTAAGTTCAAGCCGCAGAACGGGGAAATGTGCAGATATCTTATGAATATCGCTTGATATTATTCACAAATCAGTTGGAAAACTAGGCAATATCTGAGGAAAATCTCCTCTAATATATTCTTCAGTCTATCCGGCGCCTCATCGAGCGAAAGGAGCGACGACCTTTGTTTGAATATAGTTGATAACTCTTCACCTGTCCCATATGATGAAAACGCCGCCATAGTTCCTGTCGATGCAGTACGGGTTCCTGCCATGATGAACACGGTGGCTGGACGGAGTGCAAATTATGTACTCAAGTGGGCCGAGTGGAGGTATGCACTGAAGATTCACTATCAGGATCGCTTTTGCATATTTGGTCCTAGTTATTCGAATAAGTCTTACACTCGCGTGAAGCCAGAATTGAAAGACGATAACCATAGTGCGGTGAACTATAAATACGTTAGGTGGGATGGCAACGGCTTGAAGCAGGTCGAAAAACGTCATTCGCAACGTCCTCAATTGGTTAGGATTTAGTAGAATAACATCGAGTTTAGGCTCAAGTTTAGAGTTCTACTGGAAAATACTTCAAAATAATGATGCACTAGCCGGCCGACGCAATACAACTTGCTTTGCATGTGAGAAAAAATTCCTCTGACAGTTTTCCTGGTAATTCAGAGATTCGCCAAACGAAGCCTAACGAAGGTTAAGGTTCCTTGAAGGTTTTTTTCTATATACGAGGCTCTGCAAACCGCACCCTGTAGTGTTGTATTTCGGAGTGTTCGCACGCAGTGCAGGGCAATATCCAATAAAATTATGGCTCAGGTAATCTAGCTGCAGATTGTGCACAGTGGTCCCCTTACCCGTCATTTGTTAGGAAGCTCCAGCGACTCAGTGAAACCCTGCTTGTTTCACACAATAGCTGCTGCCATGCTATTCTGTCCACACCCAGACGCCTTGTACGAGTTGAAGAACTAGGAAGCTTACGTGGTTTAGGTGAGATAAGAAGCTTCTATTCTGACCTACAGGCATCCAAGGCCTTCGCCCTCTTTTATAAATACTCACACTGAAGTACCTGGATCGCTACCATCCGTACACCAGTAGTAAAGTTGTAGTACTCAGATGAATGATGAGTTTGATGGAAGGACCAGAATACCCCAGCTTCTAAAAAGTGAAAATTATGAAAGAGGGACATTTCAGAGTCGAGATATAAAACCAAAAAAAAGGATTTTTATTCGCTGTCTCAAGGGACCTTGTGAATCCTATCGTTCAGGAAGGCGAAAAAGGAGGATATGGTCAATTAGTTCCTCTTCGAGGAAGAAATTGGTCCTGCGAAGAGCCAACTACTAAAATCCTTATCCAAATCCTGTGTGGAATATTTGACTGAAAAATGTGTTCCCCGCCGCGACAGCTTCATCGTCTTTCCCTTACCAACTTTGCAATCTCGTACTTTGATGGAACCTCTCTCAAACGTCTCTATGTAACTGAACGGGTTGGATTTTCTCCGCTACGTCATCATCTACATATTGCGGAGAACTACGCTAAGCTCACCATGTATAGCTCTATGACCGACATAGAAGACGAAATCCTGTGTGAAAAGGCACAGTAACCACGTAAAAGCCGAGTTGTCTGGAAGATCTATGACGTGCAGTCGATTGTACACCATCGGATAGAATGAAGCTGCAAGAAAGCGACCCCCGCTTCTGAAATGAAAAGGGAGAAGAATGAAGATTTCTCTATGAGAAACGGTATATTGCTCAAAATCAAACTGCACACTCACATCCGTGTATATTGATTCTTACCGTGGAGGAGAAAAACTGGTCGTTAGCTGCGGTAGCGCACAACTTTCTCGAGTCGGAAGTGCGCGAAAGCAGGACCAAAGGGTAGTGATGCCCGGGCGTTGCCTCAACGCATCGTTTAGGTCTACGGAAAACTTGAGCTCAATTCCTTTGAACGCGTCGAATTTGTGTTTTTCTCTGCTCTCTCTCTCTCTCATCCGCGTGGCACTCTATGGTCATTGTGACTTCGCACATTCCAGCTTTTCACGTATGATAAGTGGCTCATCACCGCGGAGCCCCTTTCCTTGAAAAAAGCTCTCCTGGCTCGCCACTGTTTCATGAACTTCTCGATGCCCTGGCAAGCGCTGCACGCTGTGTGCGTCTCTTGGTTTCGCAACAGGACCATGCACAAAAGTTCAAGATGTCACAACCCACGGACAGCCGCGCTCAAACGTAGTGGAGCGCGCAACTTGTCCCTCTCACTTCTGGTTGTCTACTGCTGCATACGCTGCGTTTCGCTGCAGAACCATGGAATCTTTTTGAGCGTTGGACCTCCAGGACACCGAGACAACACTCGGGTGCCCCGTCCCTTTGCACTTTATCTCGCGGACAAGATTGTACACTCGCAACTGCAAGCCATTCGCCTCGCCCATGGTAAGGACCCCGTAGGTGACTGTACAGCTTTTTTGTCAGAGGACCAGTTCTGGAGCCATTAACTGGTTTCGAGAGTTCGATTAGAGAAGAGATTCACTTGATGAGGAAGGAACAGCAATCCTATATTCATCGATGTGATCGCATCGTTGAATGCGTACTTTTTCTTGCCCAGCATCACATCAGTTATCAAATATTCACAGACAACCAACAAGAACATCCATGCTGCTCCCTGAATATAAGTACATCACCAGAGGTTTTGACTGCAGTCGAAGAGCGAGCACGCTTGCAGCGGGTATGTTCGCATGCATACTGGCTTTTCGAGCGACTTTCATTTTTACCAAATCATAAGCACAACACAACAGACCCGAGTAGCGAATGAATGGCAAGAAGCAGCCTTGGTGGTGCATTCTTCTAGACAGAAGGCTTCAATCTTAGAGTGTTGAGAGGGAATCGGAACACGGGTGCCAGATGTGCGTGGTGGCTTTGTCAGACGTTCTATCAAAATCCAGCCGTGGTTAGGATACGTTCTTCCGTAGGGAAACACTTGCTCGGAGGAATATTTCCCAAAATCCCCGACGTTTTCTCCAACAAAGTCCTACCCAGTGGAAGATGGGTCTACACAGCGCACGTCTGTATCTGGGATACCAGAGAAACGTCAGCAATCGGAAACATTTTCCACGAAGCCGAACACGACCCCTCGCTGGAGCTTTCAATGTGCCAATGTGGATCTTTCAATGTGGGTCTTCTGAGAGCTGGACTCCATTTGCAGCCCTTGCCGAGGCGGCTTCAGACTACACATCGAGGCGTTGTGTCGCTTTTCAATGCTCGTAGTACCGCTGCAAGCGCGTTAATGGAGACGCGAAGCAGCCGCAAAGTGGGATCGCTCGGTGCTGGCCGCTTGCATTCCGAGAGAGAGAGAGGGAGAGAGAGAGAAGAGAGAGAGAGAGAGAGAGAGAGAGAGAGAGAGAGAGGGA